CCTTACTAACACAGCGTTACTGTCGTAGTAAGGGTTTTGACCTCTTTATGGTAATTTACATAGATCGTGTCATTGATAATGTGTAAATTGCATTCGTTTGGTAACTTCACAATATTTTACTGTTAACTACATTTTCAAATGTTCATGAAAATTAGCATGGATCTGGAGGCGTGCTGCTTTAAGATGAATATATTTATTAAAACGGTCCTAAGTTGGTCCTCGGTTGGTCTTATGTCCTTGGACTCCGACTGAACTTCGAACTTTCTATGAAAGGTTGGGCTCCCATGTGTATCTATCACAGTTATTATATTTGAACTTGAAACTAAACAATTAAGCATTGATTGATCCTAAAATCTCAAGTCAGACTAAATGCATAAACTAATTATTTCCCTTTGGTTAAATGTACCTTACCATCATCTCGTCCTTACCCCAACCTTCCAAACACAATGATCTAGACAACATTGGACTGAAGAAGACGCAGTGGGACATTACGAAGTTATTTGTCACCTAAAAAATCCAAATTGAAACATTACTATCTTGTTCTATGAATAAGTCCTAAATCTGTATCTGATGCTATATAATTCATACTAGATCTTTCCGCTGATACACATATACGAGTATATGTAGAATATCCTCCAAAGCATTGGATTTATCAAAAGGAATTGTAATTACAAAGAAAAACAAAAGCCATGTTAACATGGCCATCCCCCGCAGAATGTGTTTGCTCATTGGAAGAATGTATATGTAGTAGAGCCAGGATAATTCAATTTTAAGAGGTCTTTTGGTAATGAAAACTTATGGCTGAAGTCATTACAGATTTGAAACCTATGTGAAAACTGATGGCTGAAAATAACAAACGGCAATAACTGATAAGTGATGCAGGGTAGGTTATCATTCTTGTGGGCTGCACTCCTCAATGAGATCTATCCATCAGCTATGAAGTTTCAAGTTGATACTCTAACACTTTTTGAGATAAGCTCCGGACAAAAAGTATGAAAAATAACAAAGGGCAATAACTCAAAAATAATAATGGGTAGAGTTATCATTTTTGTGCTCAGCATTCCTCCTCAATAAGATAAATTCACCTATTAAGTTTCATGTTGACATCTCAAAGACTTTTTGAGTAATGCTCCATTCAGGTGAAAAATTAACTATGAAAAATAACAAAGTGCAATAACTCAAAAATTATGAAGGGTAGAGTTATTACTCTTAATCAATGCACACCACCTGAGTGAGATATATCCATCTATGACGTTTCATGTTGATATCTCAAAGGCTTTTTGAGTTATGCTCTGGACAAAAATTAAGTTTGAAAAATAACAAAGGGCAATAACTCAAAAATTATGCAGGATAAGTTTATCATTCTTATGCATTTCACTCCTCCTCAATATGAAGTGTTTCAAGTTGATATCTCAAATACTTTTTGAGATATGCTATGGGCAAAATCTAAGCATGAAAAATAACAAAGGGCAATAACTGAAAAAATATGCAGGGTAGAGTTATCATTCGTGTATGCTACACTTCTCCTAAATGAGATCTAACCATATTTAAAGTTTCAAGTTGATACCTTAATACTTTTTAGTTAAGCTCCGGACAAAAAGTATGAAAAATAACAAAGGGCAATAACTCAAAAATTATAAGGTAAGAGTTATCATTCTTGCGCACAGCAGTCCATCCCAATAAGATCTATCCACTTGACATCTCAAAGACTTTTTGAGTTATGCTCCACTCAGGCGTAAAAATTAAGTATGAAAAATAACAAAGGACAATAACTAAAAAAATATGAAGGGTAGAGTTATCATTTTTATGCACTGCATACCTCCTGAGTGAGATCTATTCACCTATGAAGTTTCATGTTGATATATCAAAGGCTTTTTATGTTATGCTCTGGGCAAAAATTAAGTTTGAAAAACAACAAAGGCCAATAACTGAAAACTTATGCAAGGTGGAGTTATCATTCTTACGCACTGCACTCCTCCTCAATATGATCTATCCACCTATGAAATTTCAAGTTGATACCTTAAATACTTTTTGAGATATGCTCCTGGACAAAAATGTCAGACGGACGGCGAAGACTATTTCCATATCCCCGCCGCCTTTTTGCGGGGGATAAAAAAATGAGAAAGTGAAAGAATTGGCATAAATGATCACTTCATTAATTCTGATCTCTGTGGAACAGAAACATTACAAATGACGGTCCATGTAATTTTATTTTCTTCAGTTAAGAAAATCATCCTTTTGTATGGGTTAAAGTGCTTTATCTAGCGAGTAACCTATTTTGTGTGTGAAAAACAACAACAACAAAAAACAACATCAAACAACAACAATCGCGAGTGGCATGAGCAGAGCTGCATCAGTACTAAGGGTGTAGTACTTAAGTACCAGTACCAGTACTTGGCAAATTATGCAGTACCATTACCAGTACCAGTACTAGATTTAAGCTTGGTACTGCAGTACCAGTACTTTTTTTGGTGAAGTAATTGAGTATCAGTACCATTACTTTTATATATTCATCAAAGTTTGAATAAATACAGTGTCCAACAAATAATTGCAAATATTATTCAGCAAAGAAATAAAATCCTAATTTACTTTAAAGTTAACCTGGGACATACGATATATCCCAGAGTTAACATAACATATTTACAACTTTATAGTTTTAACATACTTTTTACAAACAATATTTACAACATAATAATTATATTCATGTCATATCTAATTGTTTAGTAACCAGTCAACTGTATAAATACAATGCAAACATCTTTCATTTAAAACACAACAGTCTTTTGTTGCCTTTCACCTTCACACCTCTGTTCAATTTATACCAAAGTAAATAACAACTTTTTATGGTGCTAACAATATCACTTTTTTTCACTTGAAATGGGATTAATTAGAACAGAAGAAATTAATTAGTGTTTATTTTGCTCTTTTACTAGTAAATACAAAGTAATAAAAGATTTTAATAAGGATATTTTAGGGTAAAGAGTTATTGAGTCTGTTTATCTTAATTTAATTTTTACTTAGTCTGTGGTGCTTTTTATGATAAATACTATGTTAACATTTGAAAGAATATTGCAGCAAATTATCTTTAGATTTGATAACTTACTTTTTCACAAAAATAAAATATAGTTAATGTAATTTACAGCTTTATTTTATGAGAAAAATTGATGCTATTTTTAATTTTATCAAAACAAAAAGTACTGGGTAATGCAGTAGCAGTACCACTTTTTAAGACAGTAATGCAGTACCAGTACCAGTAGTAGCAAAATTTTGTAAGAGTAATTCAGTATCAGTACCAGTACTTGCAAAATCACTGCAGTACGTACTGCAGTACCAGTACCAGTAATGCAGCTCTGGGCATGAGTGGGGTGATAGAAAGATGGCTAAATTTGTTTGTCCTAATTTTGAATCAGCCAGTCAAAATCTAACCTTTTTTTAACGAACGCATTTTTGAGGGGAAAAAAAATCATATTTCATCATCTTTGATATAAAAAGCACGAACGTCTGTTAGAGATGTTAAAACACTATTTTTAAACAGCCTATATAAATATATTGTTGGATTTGAAGGCGTACGGAGCTCCGCATTCCAAGTATCTGTTGTCATAAAGGAATATCGTCCCGAGGGGACCCTTCCATTGGACGGTAATGTAGCTTGCCGAAGTGCCGCCCGATGGATGGATAATTCGATTGAACCATAAACACGTATTAAGTAAGATATTTTTTCTGCATATTCTACTATATAATCAAAAATAAATACTTTCAATTTTAATTAGATAATTGATCATGCATCCATTGAGATTCTGGATTGTATTATGCAAATGTTTGAAAATAAATAAATAAATAAATAAATAAATAAATAAATAAATAAATAAATAAAAATAAATAAAAATAAATAAATAAAAAAAAATAAAATAAAATAAAAAAAAATAAAATAAAATAAAAAAAAATAAAAAAAAATAAAAAAATAAAATAAAATAAAATAAAAAAAAGGATAAGAGAATTAAATAAAATAAAAATGATAGGGTAAGACAAACATACAAGCGTCGGCAGTAATGGTCAGATAATTATGTTACGTACAATGTAATTCTTCAATAATGCTTGTTCCCCTTTAACAAATTTGCACAACCTACTTTCGGTTTTACATACTATGAAAGGCATATAAATTTGTACAATTCATATTTACATCTTTCGAAAGCTATATTCATGAATTAACCAGAGATGTATAATAGTATTTCTAATTAACCTGTCATCAAGATTTCAAAGTTTTAAAGACATAAAAATAAGAATCTATAGTACTGATGCCGATTTTTTTAAATTTCGAGCCTGTTTAAGGCTGTTAAACCGATAACGTAAATGAATTATTTAAAACATAAAAAATCAACTATGATCAATTTATAAGCAGAGAAATTATTAAACAAAACGTAGTTATTAATTGGTTTCTCGATCAAAATCGCAAATTTCGGTCATTTCCGACTTTAATCGGCGAAGGGTATCTAAAGCGTATCTATATATAGGAATGAGTGTGTTTTTTAAATAGTTTATGGAGGTTTAAGATTTTCCTATAGTTTCGCTTTCTAAAAATAGACTGGAATTTCCACTTTTTGGTGCTAAAATTGGATTCTTAATTTTAGAATTGTTACATGTATAGTTAATTAACAATTCTCCCTGGAACGCAAACTATCCCTTTCATTCGTGATTTTTCCCCAAACAGCGGCGATTTCACACAAATTACCCTTAACAAATAATTCAAATAATATATAGATATTCTTTTATGGTATATTTTTTCCGCTATAATTAGTTTGATATTTAGTTGTTGTTTTTTTCCATGGCTTACGCTACATACAAGTGCCTGTTTAGGTTGTTAAGGCACCTACCATAATTCCTTGCAAATCAGTGACAAATGTTTGTTTTGTTTTTGTTTTTAAACATAATGACTTTAATAAAATTTTGTCTATATATATAACATTTTTGGAATCCCATAAAATCATTTTGATGAAGGTGGATAAAATGGAGTTCATAAGAATGACAACTTTGGCAATTTACATAATATTAATACCATACCAAGTTATTAGTGTACATGGAGAGCATGAAACATTTCGGAGGAATGATACCTGTGTATTATGGAATTATATCGGAGAATTCAGGCAAGGTTCTAACAACCTGAGAGACTGTGGACTTCAATTATATGATCCACATTCGAAAGGTCATATCTATGTCTGTTTGCGAGCAATGCGTCCTGTGATTATTGCCAAAAGCAGAAAGGAATTGGTCAGAAACCACACTAAAACAAAAGTTGCTGGTAAAAGAATAGCCTGCGCGAGGTTCTTGGCAGTAAGAAGGCCAAACAGCAATATGCGCTGGACATATATCAACTCATACACGTACTATACTGCTTTCTTCAAACACAGCGAAAGGCCTCTTGTGATTACCAGGAGATGCTTTGAACATTTTGGGGACGTTTCTACTTTGGTTTTAATCTTGAATGTTCCGTACTCCTCTGAAACGAAGTCAGGACGTGGAGTACTGTATACTAGGATAAGATATATGGCCAACATGTATGATATTAATTTCTGGAAAGTATCCATTCGTTACATAATACATGGATTTTCTCTGAATAGATTAAACTGTGTAACGTTACCTTTAGATACAGATGGATTTAGTTATGGACAAGAACATGGTTCGAAATTTAGGCTTGTGGTAACGTCGGAAGAAATATCAAAACATTATAATCGGTGTATAACAGATAAAGATAATATGAAAAACGTCAAATGCAATGCAACAGATGCCAAAGACAATTCTGAAAAAAACTATGTTATATATTTAACAGTGATATTTTTTCTCCTTTATACTTTTGAAGTTGAAAGTTGTTTTCATGATAAATTCGACCAGGATAGACCTGTGGAGTGTAACGGCGATCAAAACAGTAACGGTAGAAAGGAGAATGGACATACATGTGATACTCTCCCAAAACAAGGTATGATTGATACAACAGCGGATGATTCTATACAAGATGCAGACAGGCCGATTGCAGGTTCACTTTTACAGATGATTTTATTTTACGTCTATTTTGCGTTAACATATTGCAAAAGACACTTAAAATCCACGCAAATTACCAAAAATAGGTCAAAATATGCAAAAGTGGCCCTTAATTTATTGCCGTGTTTGTATATTTGTTATATTGTTTCTCAGACAAGTTTTGTTTATAAAACAATATAGAAGTAATACATTGCATATCTTTAAAGTCATTGACCTTAATCTCTCATGACAAAAGAAAGGACATATTTATGGCAATACATGTATTTTGCAAAGTTAATGAGATCCTTTAAAATTATTTTTATAACATCTTTAGCTGTTGGTCAACCGTCTATCCTCAACGATGAGCGTGAAGCTGCTACAAATGGAAATATCGTAAACAATGGTGAGATGATGATCATCATAGTCGAAACTGTCAATGTTGGAACTAAGAAGGCTGTAAGAATATATAAAACAGAGACCGCTCTAGCACTGCTAGATGCAAATAAAGAGGGTAAGATTTTATATCAGAAAGAGTTATTTTACTTTTTATTCTCTGAGTGGCTGGTATGCTTATAATTCGATGGAATTGTTTAATTGCATTTTATTGGATACAAAGCTTAAAAGATACTGTTAAGTCAAGCCTGCGTGGTTGCACAAGTTGATGTTTCCGTAAAACATCTTTCACTTTAACCAGTGGACTTTATGTATCACTTAAGGGTATAATTGAATAAAAGAAGAATTTCCATTGGTCATCTTAAATTACAAATTAAAATCTGGGAATCTCATTGGCCATTCAAAAATAAAATGTAAAAGAAAAAATATTGTCATTTTAACATAAGAATTTAAGGATAGTTCTAAGTAAAATGTATAGGATGCTTTTTTCCCTATAAAATAAAAGGATAGTTCTAAAATAGTATGTACAGGATAGTTCTTTATCTTACTAGCTAAAATGGTGAGATATTTAAGTTCTGTTTTACAAAAATCATTTTATATTCCTTTTACACCTCATTACATTTTCAAGTGAACAGTCTATTTACATTTAAACTCAGTTTTAATTGTTTATCACAATAACTTTATGAGTTATCAATTTATGAAAATAACGAGACTAGCAATAACCTTCATTGTAAGTTTACTTATGCACATGAAAATATTGAAAACAAGACCATAATATACGAACTTGTATCATTGTTGGGGACCTTTCTGTTGAAAACCTGTAAGAGTTAAATCGTATACATATACATGCACAGTGCGTTAACTGGAGTGCAGGTATTAGTTACCCGCACTCCAGAGCATGCCAATTGATTGGGGAAAGTGATGGCAGAGAACGGGAAAGCGACAGTAATATCATATTCAGATGCTCGTTCATTGGTTATTTTCTCTGGGGTTCTATAACAGGGACCGTGTCTTTATGTTTGACTATGATACAAAAGAGAAAGAACATCAAAACACTCGGCAATCTGATTAATACTCGGGGGCTACGCCCCCTCGTACAAATCAGATGGCCTTTTGTTACGATGCTCTTTCTATTACTTATCAGGTAAAAAACCCCAGTTTTCTGATGTTCAATAAGTGTCCAATATATTATAAAATCATTGATGTTTTCAACTGATTTACATATACATATACATGTATTCTTTTGCATATTAATCAAGTATTTATAAATATAATTGCCTACCGACTGCGTTGATATTTTTTTTCATCATAACTGTTTGCACTTAATTAGTCATAAAACCATTAAAAGTAGTTTTGTTGATTTTATAGTATTCATTATCTTTTTATTACTATTTATAACACTTTATATGCGATTCTTCAAATAATACTGACAATATTGCAAATGATGACACAGTTTATTAAGTCAAACATAACAAAAAGTAAAAGGGACACGTAAATAAATGCTGTTTGATAGAAATTGTCCTACTTTAAAGAGACATCGATATCAATATGCTTATAATTTAACTTCTATGTTCACAAAATGGGGTTTTCGTAGCTATAAGAAATTATTGTATCATAGTTTGGGGACTTTTCTTTTGAAAATCTGTCAGAGTTAAATCGTATAAATATACACACACAGCATGCGTGCAGATATTAGTTATCCGCACTCCAGAGCATCCCGATTGATTGTCTCACTTTTGCTGGGGTGGCAGAGATAATTAAATATCATATTCAGATGCTCATTCATTGGTTACTTTTTCTTGGGGTTTAATATTGTGACAACAAGGGACGTGTTTCATATCTTTGACTATGATACAAAAGATTCATAATCAGATAGCCTCATGTTTCGATGCTTTTTCTATTACTTATGTCATTGTTATGCAGGCATTGCTAACATTTCATTCCGAAAACTTAGAAAAAACATATGCAAATTAAGCAGTCTTACTTCGACCGAGTTTCTTTTTTAAAGATAGTCAGTCCTTGTTTATTGATATTTGTTCTCTTGTTTCTCTGAAAGGCTATAAGTTTTGTTAATAAAACAATAACAAACAAAGTAATACATTGTATATCTTTAAAGTCATTGGGCTTTATCTCTCATAACAAAAGAAAAGTGTAGAATGTCTTTATTGCGACATCTTTATTGCAATACATGTATTTTGCAAAGTTAATGAGATCCTTTAAACTTATTTATATAGCATCCTTAGCTGTTGGTCAACCGTCTATCCTCAACGAGGAGCGTGTAGCTACGAATGGAAATACCGTAAACGATGATGAAGTAAAGACAAACGATGCCATCGACACAGTCGAAATTATCAATGTTGGAATCGGGAGGGATGTAAGCGAATATTTAACACCAGAGACCGATCAGTTAGAAGTGCTAGAGGCAACTAAAGAGGGTAAGTTTTTATATCAGAAAGAGTTATTTTACTCCTTATTCTTTGAGTGGCTGGTATGCTTATAATTCGATGGACTTGTTTAATTGCATTTTATTGGATACAAAGCTTAACAGATACTGTTAAGTCAAGCCTGTGTGGTTGCACAAGTTGATGTTTCCGTAAAATACCTTTCTCTTCAACCAGTTGACTTCATGTAACACTTACAGGGTATATAATTGAATATAAGAAGAAATTTCATTGGTCATCTTAAATTACAAATTAAAATCTGGGAATCTCACTGGCCATTCAAAAATAAAATGTAAAAGAAAAAATATTGCCATTTTCACATAAGAATTTAAGAATAGTTCAAAGTAAAATGTATAGGATGCTTTTTGCCCTATAAAATAAAATGTGAAGAATAGTTCTAAAATAGTATGTACAGGATAGTTCTTTATCTTACTAGTCAAAATGGTGAGATATTTAAGTTCTGTTTTACAAAAATCATCTTATACTCCTTTAAGACCTTATTACCTTTTCAAGTGAACAGTCTATTTACATTTAAACTCACTTTTAATTGTTTATCACAATAACTTTATGAGTTATCAATTTATGAAAATAACGAGACTAGCAATAACCTTCATTGTAAGTTTACTTATGCACATGAAAATATTGAAAACAAGACCATAATATACGAACTTGTATCATTGTTGGGGACCTTTCTGTTGAAAATGTGTCAGAGTTAAATCGTATACATATACATGCACAGTGCGTTAACTGGAGTGCAGGTATTAGTTACCCGCACTCCAGAGCATGCCAATTGATTGGGGTTTACTTATTGTGACGGCAGAGAACGGGAAAACGACAGATCTATCATATTCAGATGCTCGTTCATTGCTTATTTTTCTGGGGTTTCATAACAGGGACCGTGTCTTTATGTTTGACTATGATACAAAAGAGAAAGAACATCAACAAACTCGGCAATCTGATTAATACTCGCGGGCTACGCTCCCTCGTACTAATCAGATAGCCTCGTGTTTCGATGCTCTTTCTATTACTTATCATGTAATCCCAGTTTTCTGATGTTCAATAAGTGTCCAATATATTACGAAATCATTGATGTATTCAATTGATTTGCATATACATGTACATGTATTTTTATGCTTTTTCTATTACTTATGTCATTGTTATGCAGGCATTGCTAACATTTCATTCCGAAAACTGAGAAATAACATATGCAAATTAAGCAGTTTTACTTCGGCCGAGTATCTTTTTTAAAGATAATGAGTCCTTGTTGGTTGATATGTGTTCTCTTGTTTCTCTGACGGACCATAAGTTTTGTTTATAAAACAATAAAAAAGTAATACATTGCATATCTTTAAAGTCATTGACCTTTATCTCTCATAACAAAAGAAAAGTGTAGGACATCTTAATTGCAATACATGTAATTTGCAAAGTTAATGAGATCCTTTAAAATTATTTTTATAACATCCTTAGCTGTGGGTCAACCGTCTATCCTCAACGAGGAGCGTGTAGCTACAAATGGAAATACCGTAAACGATGATGAAGTAAAGACAAACGATGCCATCGACACAGTCGAAACTGTCAATGTTGGAATCGGGAGGGATGTAAGCGAATATTTAACACCAGAGACCAATCAGTTAGAAATGCTAGAAGCAACTAAAGAGGGTAAGATTTCCTATCTGAAAGAGTTATTTTACTCCTTATTCTTTGAGTGGTTGGTATGCTTATAATTCGATGGACTTGTTTAATTGCATTTTATTGGATACAAAGCTTAACAGATACTGTTAAGTCAAGCCTGTGTGGTTGCACAAGTTGATGTTTCCGTAAAATACCTTTCTCTTAAACCAGTTGACTTCATGTAACACTTACAGGGTATATAATTGAATATAAGAAGAAATTTCATTGGTCATCTTAAATTACAAATTAAAATTTGGGAATCTCACTGGCCATTCAAAAATAAAATGTAAAAGAAAAAATATTGCCATTTTCACATAAGAATTTAAGGATAGTTCAAAGTAAAATGTATAGGATGCTTTTTGCCCTATAAAATAAAATGTGAAAGATAGTTCTAAAATAGAATGTACAGGATAGTTCTTTATCTTACTAGTCAAAATGGTGAGATATTTAAGTTCTGTTTTACAAAAATCATCTTATACCCCTTTAAGACCTTATTACCTTTTCAAGTGAACAGTCTATTAACATATAAACTCACTTTTAATTGTTTATCACAATAACTTTATGAGTTATCAATTTATGAAAATAACGAGACTAGCAATAACCTTCATTGTAAGTTTACTTATGCACATGAAAATATTGAAAACAAGACCATAATATACGAACTTGTATCATTGTTGGGGACCTTTCTGTTGAAAATGTGTCAGAGTTAAATCGTATACATATACATGCACAGTGCGTTAACTGGAGTGCAGGTATTAGTTACCCGCACTCCAGAGCATGCCAATTGATTGGGGTTTACTTATTGTGACGGCAGAGAACGGGAAAACGACAGTAATATCATATTCAGATGCTCGTTCATTGCTTATTTTTTTCTGGGGTTTCATAACAGGGACCGTGTCTTTATGTTTGACTATGATACAAAAGAGAAAGAACATCAAAATACTCGGCAATCTGATTAATACTCGGGGGCTACGCTCCCTCGTACTAATCAGATAGCCTCGTGTTTCGATGCTCTTTCTATTACTTATCATGTAATCCCAGTTTTCTGATGTTCAGTAAGTGTCCAATATATTATAAAATCAGTGATGTATTCAATTGATTTGCATATACATGTACATGTATTTTTATGATTTTTCTATTACTTATGTCATTGTTATGCAGGTATTGCTAACATTTCATTACGAAAACTGAGAAATAACATATGCAAATTAAGCAGTTTTACTTCGGCCGAGTATCTTTTTTAAAGATAGTCAGTCCTTGTTTGTTGATATTTGTTCTCTTGTTTCTCTGACGGACCAAAAGTTTTGTTAATAAAACAATAACAAACAAAGTAATACATTGTATATCTTTAAAGTCATTGGGCTTTATCTCTCATAACAAAAGAAAAGTGTAGGACATCTTTATTGCAATACATGTAATTTGCAAAGTTAATGAGATCCTTTAAAATTATTTTTATAACATCCTTAGCTGTGGGTCAACCGTCTATCCTCAACGAGGAGCGTGTAGCTACGAATGGAAATACCGTAAACGATGATGAAGTAAAGACAAACGATGCCATCGACACAGTCGAAACTGTCAATGTTGGAATCGGGAGGGATGTAAGCGAATATTTAACACCAGAGACCAATCAGTTAGAAATGCTAGAAGAAACTAAAGAGGGTAAGATTTCCTATCTGGAAGAGTTATTTTACTTCTTATTCTCTGAGTGGCTGATAGGCTTATAATTCGATGGACTTGTTTAATTGCATTTTATTGGATACAAAGCTTAACAGATGCTGTTAAATCAGGCCTGCATGGTTGCACAAGTTGAAGTTTCTGTAAAATACCTTTCACTTAAACCAGTTGACTTCATGTTACACTTACAGTGTATAATTGAATATAAGAAGAATTGTCATTGGTCATTTTAAATTACAAACTAAAATATGGAAATCTAACTGGTCATTCAAAATAAAATATAAAAGAAAAATTGCCTTTTTAAAAAAAAGATTTTAAGGATAGTTCTAAGTAAAATGTATAGGATACTTTTTTCCCCTATAAAATAAAATGTAAAGGATAGTTCTAAAATAGAATGTACAGGATAGTTCTTTATCTTTCTAGTTAAAATGCTGAGATATTTAAGTTCTGTTTTTCTGTTGAAAATGTGTTAGAGTTAAATCGTATACATATACATGCACAGTGCGTTAACTGGAGTGCAGGTATTAGTTACCCGCACTCCAGAGCATGCCGATTCATTGGCTCACTTTTGCTGGGGTGGCAGAGATAAATATCATATTCAGATGCTCATTCATTGGTTACTTTTTCTTGGGGTTTAATATTGTGACAACAGGAAACGTGTTTCTTACCATTGACTTTGATACAAAAGATTAATAATCAGATAGCCTTGTGTTTGGATGCTTTTTTATTACTTATGTCATTGTTATGCAGGCATTGCCAACATTTCATTTCGAAAACTTAGAAATAACATATGCAAATTAAGCAGTTTTACTTTGGCCGAGTATCTTTTTATAGATAGTCCTTGTTTGTTGATATCTATTCTCTTGTTTCATAGAGGGGCTCAGGGGAAGGAGAATACAAATATAATTCTTAAACGTTTCTGATTGATTAAACGAAAATATTTTATTCATTTCAGGAGGTGCAGCACAAGAGGATGAACTTGTGTGCAAGATATGTTACATGGAGGAAATTTCAGTTGTGTTTCTTCCGTGTAGTCATATGCTTGCATGCGAAAGCTGTTCGAAGCTTCTCGAGCGTTGCGCTGTGTGTCGTGCCGTGATCAAGGCAATGCTAAAAGCCGAGATAAAGTAGTCGTTTTGAAAAAATAAAACGACATGGAATTTAAACAAAAAATGGATCAATTTATACATAAACTTTACTATCAGGTTGTTTTAGAAGATGTGATTTGTGTTTTAATGGAACTAACGATTTTCGGATAGCATCTTTGACTCGAGTACTTGTATTTATTCATGTATATATATTAATTGTTTCATACAGTAGGGGAAATCCGGATAAATACGGACGATTTTTGCACTTTGGTGTTCAATAACTTAGAGCAGAACGCATAGCTTCGATCGACATACCAACACAAACTTATTTGTTCGGAAAACTATTTACACGGATATTTAGCATCTCATAAAGGCAGACATGTGTCCGAGATATTGCTAGTTATCAAAAATAAATTACCTCTTAAAACCGGGATAGTACGGACACAGTAGTAGAACTACGGACACAAGACGGGAAAATACGGACAATAAATATTTCAAAGGGGGAAGTACGGACACTTATGTCTTTTTAAAAATAAGTCAATTCCACGCGTTTTAATACTCTATTGATCTATTCTAAACATGTACAAATGAGAAAATCAACTTTGATGGAAATCTCCGCCTGCCCATTTCGTCGTTTTAATGCCCTGCAAGAACAACGTGAATGCATTAACATTTTATACATGAAATACATCAAGTATGCTTTTTATATATTTTGGTCAATTTTATTAATACTTTTCAGTTAGTAATTTAGAAGTTGTTAGTATTCACATCATATGTATTGATTATTTTTAAGTAGAGAAATACGTAAGAAAGGAATAATTAAATATATAGTTTATGAATACTACAGTAAAATCTTTGAAAACCGGACCCTTTGAAAACCGATATTCTCTGAAAAAAGTATGGTAAACATATCATAAACGATCCTCTGAAAACTGGTCATCAATTTTAAATGGCGACTTTCTGTGTATGTAAATGTGAATAAAGATATACTTTAAAAAGGCGACATGTTCAATTACCAGTAATGGTCACCCGATATTAAACTATGCAGGCGAGAAAACACTTGTCAGTGTGTATGTGTTAATTTATTGACAAAAACATTAAAGTCCTTTCATTATATTTATGTCTTCACCCGTGTAGGTATGATTTTTAAAATGTTTCAATTTGTTGGGTTTTTTTTATAGAAATAATTGGGAAACTTTAGTTAAATGATTCTTGTTTTTCTTAGAATTTTGATCTTGAAGCTATCTTTATTTGGACAATCATTTTATGTAAACAAAATGACAAAAATGCAGTTATTAAATATTTCAAAAGCCAATTAAAAGTTATATTTCAGACAATGTGTTGTACTTTTAATTTCAAATTTCTGATTTTTTCATGAATTTGCATAACAAAATTACTCAAGACATGAGTAAATACAAATTGATTTAAACAAAGTCAATGTTCAAACACATCATAATTATCAGAGCAGAACAGAACAGAGTTTATTTCATAACATGTACACACATAGGTACATTGTTATAACAAGCAATTTGAAATATAACTTTAGTTCACATATTTTACAATATAGGGAAAAACATAAAGAAAAAAATCAATACAATACTGAGCAATGGGATATTTAATACATACAATGTAATACATCACATATACTGACAAAACTCCATTAATCAAATATATATTTATATCTATAAATTACGTCTGTAAATGAATAATGAAGAGCACTAAATTTAAGCGAAGAACAAACAATAACTTCACTTTTAATCGAATTAGTTGACAAAATATTTTCTCAATATGATATAAAGAACGTCACAGTATATATGATCAAAACAGCGTCATAATACTATTGAAGAGAAGATTTCTAGAGCTATCATTTCGTCTGATGTTTGCCTTTTTTTAAATAAGAACATAAGTTTGTAAGTACTTTATGGCTTTAAGATTGCAGTAATTCTGTAAATGTGGTCACACAAGGCCGAATGTAAAAATAACGCATAATATATTAGCTACGTAGATTTTCATAAGCACTGCATTTTAAAACAAACCCAATGTGAACACATTACTGACTTAACTTTGAAAAATAAAAATATTGTGACATTTCTTAGCAACGTAAGCGATTTAGGGCCACCAAAGCTCACTTGTTTTACCAAGTAGCTTTTAGTAGTACAATTTTAAATTTGGTGACCAATACTTTCTTTCATATATTTTTTCATGTTTTCTTAACATGTTTCATGTGTGAATCGATGACTGTGTTATTTGCAAAATGTTTATTTTGTTTAACTTAAGATCATTACATTGAATATTCCTAATAAAATACTAGCAAAAATATTAGTGTGAAATGTTTATTTCATTATCCCTTTAGCCTGTGATCACAAAAGGCAGTAATAACTCGTACATTACAATCATACCCGAACACACAACATCTTAAATATTTGATTAAAATGGTGTTGCGTTGAAAAAATGAAACAAAACAGCTGACTTATGAACGAATACATGGCTGTCTAAACTCATACACACATGATTTTGTTCAATATGTTTCTTAAAATTTGCTTTAAACAGAAAATATCTCGTTCATGAAACATTTAACGTGTATTATACACAAAAAAAACAGCAATTGGTATCATATGATATACGAAACAAAACATGTATAAAGCTGGGTTTTTTTTTCTTCATAAAATCTTAGATCCAAATAAATGTTGACTTAATAGGGTTTCTTAATGTTATTAAATATCAAACCGTGAAATCAGTATAAGATGGTTAATATTAAATGAGTGAAGATCAAGTTGTAAATCGATATCACGTTATCCTTCAATGACACTTGAAAAAGTAAAGTTGATATTTGTAAGATTGCCACATTTCGATGACTGGTTGAATTCCTCAAATAATGGGTTTCCGAACACGTCAGTCTTAAATAATGCTCAGGCCATATAGTTAAAAATACAAACAATTCAGTGTTGGGAATCCGTGCGTTTTTAAAATATATATCCGTACATTGAGGGATGTTCTCAATGTTCAGTAATGAAGAAATCTTGTCTACTACGTATTTAAAGGGGTATATCTATAGTTCGAAATTGAATTCACTAACCCGCGTGTTATATAAAGGATTTTCAAACAAACAAATACCCTCTATGCAAATTCACAATAAATTGTGATTTACTTGCGGAAATTCCGTTAAACCTGTATGCCTCAGATCAAGAAAAATTGAGAAATAAATTACTATTTAAGAAATAATTGACATTTTTATTTGCAAATAATGACTGGTTTTTCAGTATTTATCACCATGTTTCTTCAATGTGACTAACGCAGTAAAGGCTGTGTTTGCATATTTGTGCCATTTATAGTAATTCATTAAAAAAAATTGCCAGTTTTTAAATGATAATTTTAAAAGGTAATATATGCATGTATTATCTGTGTTTATCTTTATCTAAATTTAAAAGAGATTATAGTGAAATAAATCATTTCATAAAAATAAAATTTCGAACAAAGCAATGCACAACATTTCTAATTCATGCGTCAGCCGTTATATTTTTGGACTCAAAATACCTTGATGACCAAATCAGTTTTTACAGTTGCGATGAAGCAATCCCTTCTTCGAAACATTTGTAAATTTCAAGAGTACACTTTTGCACATACATAATACATGTATGTATATATACATTTATTTATCTTACTTTTGAGAAGCCCTTGAAAATTGGGATCCCAAAAAATAGAATCGAAGAGGAAACAATAAAACAAGATGTCGGATACTGACATTGAGTTAGTTTTATTTGTAATTATTACTTTGATCATTGACGAGTTCCTGTGGCGATTTCTTTGGTTGTGTCTGAAAATTGTGAAATGCAAATTGCTGAGAGCGATACATTTCGTGACTGGAAAACTACGGCAGAACAAGACAAAATTAGGAATACTTCTACAAAGTTATAGCACAGCAATCGGTTTCCTCGTAGGCAAACGCTTCAGTAAAACTGTTAGTGACATAGACGAAGATGATAAAATGAAAAATGAATGTGTTAGGTTTAAAACCTATAAAGGAGTTCCAGATGATTCACCGATGTCGACAGATAACGGAATTCCAGCAGTAAAGGTAAAGAATGGTCGATATTCGTCAACGGGTTCCTCTGCGACAAATAATGAAAAAACTGAGCACAGAACTCACAGAAATATGAGTGCTCAAACGGTTACAGATAAAGAACGCGGTGCATCTAATAAAAGTACAATGGATGCACAAACATCTTATGGTAGAAGGACGAATAAAGAAAATTGTTTTGCACAATCAAACGATCCAAAAACAAGTAAACGGAACGTAAATCACACTGACAACAAGCCAAATATGACTAAGGTCAATCAAAAAGTCACGTGTAGAAAAGCTGGATTTGAAAGTGCAGCAGAAGACATGCTTCCGAAAGCCAAAGAAAAATATATAACTATTGAAGCACGACTGAATTCGTTTGCCAAATGGCCTAAAAGAAAGACAATAGATCCAGGACAATTGGCTAGTGCTGGACTGTATTATACAGGTAAACAATCATAATAATTATTTGTTCAAAACAAATTGAAGTGATTTATATCGAAACTTTATATTAATTTAGAAGGCAGTTCTTTGCTGCTACTCGCCATGATGCATTGGTGGCCATTGATATCGATCTGTCGGTCAATCCGTTTCCGGTCAATAACTTGAGACATAAGCTTATAACTCTATAACTTCAAAGGTGCATTGGTCTTGGGAAGAAGATGACCCCTATACATTTTGGGGTCAAGGGCTCAACAGATAGTGTAACATTGAACAAGTATTAGTTTGAGACCAATGACTAAACAATTAAAGGGCCTTCAGTCCTCAAAGGTTCATTGATATTGGCCAGTAGATGACCTACTATTAATTTCGGGCTTACATGGTCAAAGTTTAAGTTCACATTGACCTTGTATTCCGAAAAGGTTTCATTTGATGACCTTTTCTGATTTTGGCAGTCAACAAAGTATCTCTTTTCCAGACCGTACCTTTAGTTGTTTCATTTAGTGAAATGAGATCCAGGCTCTCCACCTCGTCCGCGGGACACCTAAATAAATGCTGTTAAATATAAAATGTCCTTCTTTGAAGAGACGTCAATATCAATATGCTTAAAATTTAACCTCTATGTTTTTCGTAGCTATAAGAAATTATTGCATCATAGTTTGGGGACCTTTCTGTTGAAAATGTGTTAGAGTGAAATCGTATACATATACATGCACAGTGCGTTAACTGGTGTGCAGGTATTAGTTACCCGCACTCCAGAGCATCCCGATTGATTGGCTCACTTTTGCTGGGGTGGCAGAGATAAATATCATATTCAGATGCTCATTCATTGGTTACTTTTTCTTGGGGTTTGATATTGTGACAACAGGGAACGTGTTTCTTATTTTTGAATATGATGCAAAAGATTAATAATCAGATAGCCTCGTGTTTCGATGCTTTTTCTATTACTTATGTCGTCAAAGAAAAATATATAACTATTGAAGCACGACTGAATTCGTTTGCCAAATGGCCTAAAAGAAAGACAATAGATCCAGGACAATTGGCTGATGCTGGACTGTATTATACAGGTAAACAACCGTAATAATTTATTTGTTAAAAACGAATAGAAGTGATACATATAGAAACTTTATATTATTTAGAAGGCAGTTCTTTGCTGCTACTCGCCATGATGCATTGGTGGCCATTGATATCGATCTGTCGGTCATTCCGTTTCCGGTCAATAACTTGAGAACGCATAAGCTTATAACTCTATAACTTCAAAGGTGCATTGGTCTTGGGAAGAAGATGACCCCTATACATTTTGGGGTCAAGGGCTCAACAGATAGTGTAACATTGAACAAGTATTAGTTTGAGACCAATGACTAAACAATTAAAGGGCCTTCAGTCCTCAAAGGTTCATTGATATTGGCCAGTAGATGACCTACTATTAATTTCGGGCTTACATGGTCAAAGTTTAAGTTCACATTGACCTTGTATTCCGAAAAGGTTTCATTTGATGACCTTTTCTGATTTTGGCAGTCAGGGCTTAAAAATTTAGGTCATATTGACCTTGTATGTCAAAACGGTTTCCGACCAATAACGTGACAACCAAAAAAAGTCTTTTCAGGGTCAAAGTTCAAACTCACATTAACCCTATACGTCAAAACAGTTACCGACCAGTTTCTTACACTGATGGGCCTTAAGCATAAGTCTTGGGTAGTAATTGACCTAATTGTTTTTTGAGTGACAGGGTTAATGTCACATTTACAGGTTGCAGGTATTACAAACGTGTCTTGTTAAAAGTGGATCGCTCGAAAAACTGTATCAAGTATTTTTTCGTCGAATAATTACATTTATGCTCCTTCATTTACAAAATACTATGACTTTCAGCTTGCTTTGGTGATGTCGTTGGTAATTCAATTTAGTTACTTTGAACCCAAACATGTTTTACAAACGTCTTTTGTAAAAACACCTTTTTATCATAGGTTACAGGGACATTGTTGCCTGCTTTGCTTGTAATGTTCAGTTACGTGACTGGGAACAGGAAGACGATCCCTACATAGTGCATGCTCGGTGGTTCCCGCATTGTCCGAATCTACTACATAAAAAAGGATCTGTGTTCATAGAGAGAAACCAGGTAGTTTATATAAAACACTTCATAAAAGGGCAAATTATTTTAGTATATCTTTCATGTTTTAAGCCAGCATCTTCTTAGGTCCGTACATTTTTTTACTTACTTCAGCTAAGTCTCATTGTTAAAAATATTACGAAATATGTATAATTTAGTACAAGAAGGGTAATATTATCATCTGTGTAGATATTTGTTTTGAAAGATTTTTGGAAGATGTTTACTGCAACGACTTGACCAAAATAAAAAAAAACAAAAAACAAAAACACAAAACAAAAAAACAAAACGATTTCATATATAGATATTATCCTTCCAGATCGTTCGCCCCAAAATCGCACAAGTGAAAACAATGAATAGAGGGGTATACACTTCGAGCACTCTAGGTAAGTGATGAACGTTACCGTATTAATTATGATGGCAAGTAATTGAATGCCCCACTTATACATGTATATATGAATATTTAAGGGGAAAACAGACTTCTCTGAATGTAAAGGCTCAATCATACCGAGTCTGCAATTTTCATGCAGTTTTGTTATGATTAATGCGTCCGAGGGATTACACTTTATCTAGATTTTTTTTTCACAAAATTTATACTTATTATACTAAACCAATAGTGGAAATGTACTGAATAAATTTAATTATGTGTTGTGTTCATAGTCTGTATGACACATCCTTCATGAAAAAATATGGTATACACTTTCACTTATACATTGATCGTGCTTCGTCATGATTCAAACAAAGATTTTTGACTTTCATGGGGGAAAATGTTTAAAATAGGCTTTTGATTTGTTTGGTGAAATTTGAGCGTGTTTCTTTTCAGAGATATTTTATTTCATTTTTTTGTTCATGATTCAGAACACAGACAGTCTTTGGTGGGCCATAAAAACAATGGAACAGGACGTGGAGCAATCCAACAGAATGGAACCAATGAGTGCAGTGAAAGAGTACTTTGTAAGCTCTGCAAGATTGCCAAACGTAACATGTTGTTTGTTCCTTGTGGACATGTGGTTGTATGTGAAACTTGTGCTTCCATTTTACCTTCATGTTTGGTATGCAACGCGGAGATCTCTTACACCATAAAAACCTACATACATTAATTAAGGAAGGGAAACAAAATACCTTAAACTCTGTAAATATATTTCACAACTTGTGAGTTTGAATAACAATTGGTTGTATTTTTTTATGAAATAGATTAATATATAATTTATATGATGTTTTGAAGAACTTTTGTATACATTGATACAATGTACTTACAATTAATATCAGACTTTGTATAAGTCTTACTTTTACTATTCGTTGAAGATAATGTTTGAATTCTGATATTCACCAACTCATGAATATTTTGCTCACTTGTTGTAATAATTGGAAATCATCATCCCAAGTTAGTGGTATTTATTATTATTTAGCTCCCTTTTCAAAAGTGGTCATTTAAGAGTGATTACCTGATTGATATATATATATATGACAAATATGAAATAAAGTAGAGTAAACAGATGTTGTTGGTGATCTGTCAAATTATTTTACACGTGTAAAGTTAAGGATTGTTGAAGTTTTAGAAATTATATTTTGTCCATTGAAATTGCTCTATTTTTCAAATTTCCTCGTCACATACTCTAACTTGTCATATAATAATACGTATTATTAAGTCAGCACAAAATTTTATCTTATTAGCGCATGTGCGAAATGTGTGGTGGAAAACAGTTACCACACTGTAACGGCACAGGAAGTTTTGTCAGAACAGAACAGACCAAACAGTTTATTCAAGACTTGTACAATAAATACAAGTTTAGTACATAAAAAGTCACAATAAAAAATAAGCACATTTTCACAAATTCATATTTTGAGAGGATGGCCTCTATTTAATTACAAGTAAAAGTAGTTCTTAATGAAAGTGCAAGTTTTGTATAATAAGCTAGTTTTTTTTCCAGAAGAATTTCACTTATATTGTATATAGTTTATTTTAGTTCAATTGTGTTGGAAGCCTGAGTTAATTGAAACCCTCTGGAACGGTTCCTGGAATCAACCAGTACCAAGCAATGAGTGTACAGTTTCTTGCTCAAGAAATTAGTGTTTAAACTAACGCGGCCAACACTACTAGATCACTAATCTGACGCGTTAACCTCTCGGCCACGGCGCCACTCCACATATTTTTTGTATTTAACGATTCAACAAGTTGACTTCGGTCCCAAACCCCAACATAAAATTGGTCTAGCAAAGAGACAAATGGCTCTCACAGTAACTTTTGCTTGAGCTTTTATTTACAACACCTGATCAGTAACACATATAAAGCTTTCAAAGCTCTACCAACACGCTGTTTCTGGTTTAATGCAAAATTATAAGTATAATTAAAAACTACCTAGTTAATTTTAGCCGTTTTCAACTTCAAGGCGTAAGTCATTACACAAATATTTCTCTTATGACAACAAAGTATCTCTTTTCCAGACCGTACCTTTAGTTGTTTCATTCAGTGAAATGAGATCCAGGCTCTCCACCTCGTCCGCGCTCCTTCGTCTTTGGTACGTGTTTGCTTCACTTCCTCCGAAATAAATGTTCGTGAATAAAGTATAAAGTACTTTTAAGAGCCCAAACAGCTCTCCTTAATAGCTCGCGCTCCTTACATAAGCTGAATTTGGCTACAATTAAACGATTTTCATTGTATTTCGTTGTTTTGATTATTTCAGGCATCACCCTTTTGACAGATATTTACACAGCACAACGGAAGGCTTCAAGTGCCGTAATGCAGACGTAAAATGTTGGCCCATACTGCACTTCAGTGTTGTAATTTTTTCTGATTATCCGAGATTATTGATTTTAAAACACGAAGTGTTGAAAATTGAGCACCGCTCAAGCCTGTGCTAAAGGGGATTAAAGGATGTTTTACATTTCCATTATTTCTCATGTTTAGTTTTAATCAAACTGGGTCTGCAATCTTCATTTTGTAATGCTTCACCAAATTTCCAGATCTTTTTACCAGTTCGGTTCTTGACCATTCTGTGTATTCGTTTCAACTTTATTTCCCTAACTAACTATCTAGCTAATCTTATTTCACTGACTTAGACAATTTCTATTTCCCCTTGAGAGGCCTCCTCTATATTGTCGTATAACATATGTTGTTACGCAAGGATTTGGATTGTACATAATGAAGTCCATCATTCAGCTACTTATTTTTTACTTCGAATCCTGTATATATGATAATACAATACTAAAAGGCTGCAATACTACCCTTTACCCTACAGTACTAATTCTATTGCCGGTCTGAATGTTATCATTATGATAAAGAGTCTGTAGCTTCGACATTTCCTTTTCTTCGACCTGTAGCGACTTTTAAGACCCTAATTACATCTCAATAGTAAACAAACAATTATCTATTTTCTCCAAGATTTTCATTAAATTTGCATTTGAAGGAGATTTATTTGTCGATATATACGTATTTACAGGAATAGAATCACTATAGTGTATGATTAATGAGTCACATCTGACACATCTGGATCATCGGAAAGCCTATTAAAGTTTAAGATTCAAATAGGACCGATTTATTTTAGAATTCAAGTGGTCGCGTAAATTGTCCAAATTTGCTTCAAACAATAATTCATAGAACTGTCACTTGTTTTTTTTTTCTTCTTCAAAGTCATATTTTCATTAAGACTGGTCATGTCATTTCAATAACATCATTTACATATTTATTTCATTGAAAAAAATAGCACCGATTTCTAGCTTGTAGTCACTTCAGTTTAAACAAAATCTATCAACTCCTTTGTTTACTTTCCATTGTGTCCAAATAGCTATGTGCATCTTTTGGTGAGTGTTTGCATAAGGAGAAAAAAGATATAGTCAAATTCTGGAAAAAGGCCATATATTTATAGAGGACTTTTAGAGATTTTAAGGTATGCATGTCAAATTTCTTACAACTTAGGATTCCGCCATTTTGGCTGCTTTATCTGAATGCAAAAGAAATGGAAAATGCGTACTTTTACAAGACTAAATCGTTAATATTTGAAAAGTGATAAAAAAAAATAGTTTTGGATATTTTATAGATAATTTATGTATTAAATGATAAAAAGTCAGGTTCCTGCAATAACAGAAATTTTTTTGGAATAAAAATATACCTCATGTTGAAACGAAGCAATTAAGGCTTTTTTCTTTATAGTCAAATATCTAAATTTCGAAAACCATTATTCCCAACTAATTGTTATCTGACAATTTATTTACACAATTTGTAACATCTATGATAAGCTGCTCATCCACTTGATTTTGACGGCTGGGTATCTGTGTGGGTAAATTATGCATAATATTCATGGACTCAGAAAGTTGGAAACTGATAAAGGTTGACGAATCACTCACAATTTTTCGTGTCGGATTCCAATGCACTTCTTATACTTTTCAGAATAAGAAATGTTTCCTTTTCATATACTACACTCTCTTCGCAGCTCACTGAATACGCTCACGTTACTTAAAGTGAGCGATAGTGGAACAAATTGACCGATGCGCAGGAGAGTATTCATATATATGTATGTGAAAGGCATTGCTGCGGCGTTGGCTCATCGTAGGAAACGTGTTACAGTTTCGCGTTTTCAGGTTACAGTATAAAATTTTCAAGATGGAGGATAATTTATGGGACAAGAAGTAGGTGATTTTTTATTCAGGACCATGCTTCAAGTAGTTTAGTTTCTAAAGGATGTTTTTGTGCTTTGCTTGTAAGGAACAGAGTCCGGTATCTAATCATATATTTCTTCAGACCCTGCACCGTAGATTTATCTCTATATTGTCTCATAAATATGCAGATTTGACAGTTTGAAAATTTGAATCGAGAGACCAACGCATTTTTCTCCCATTCCGACATTATTTATGCATGCCTAGAAAAGTAAATCTGCAAAACGTTAGTCCTTTATGTAAGGAAACGTTTATAAAAATAATCTGTTGAACCTATTTTCCTGTTCGTTAAATGCGTTTGAAAAAATAATGTTACAGTATAGAGCGAGGTGAATTTTGCAGGGTTTCAGCATAGACCTAGCGACTTTGATCCAATTTTGTTACAGTTTATATCCAAATTTCGGTTACAGTTTAGATACTTGCCAAATTTCAAACAAAGTCAGTGCATCCATTATCTTTATGAAATAACTCATACCTTTGTATTTAATACATTCTTGAAAGGTTGTATTACTTTTTTTCTTCAGCAGAAAAGTTATAGTTTGCTATTTTCCTTACTTTAAGTTCAAGATTGAGACTTTTTTCAGAATAAGAACTGTTTTCACGACAACAACAGAAACTTTTATCAAATTGTATGAAAGATCATTGATTTCATTACACATAATAATAATGCCTATTAGTAATAAAACAAAGGAAAAAGAATCCTTAACAGAAGTCCAACACGGAAAACATGAAAATGTTGCACGCTCATTTGATTGAACCTGTTCATGGACGGTAGTGGTAACTGCAAGCTACCGTCCACGCCTCCTAGCACCGGCTTCAGCAGAATTCACATTAAACATGAACTGGGAAAGTTTAGATTTTTTAACATCTGTGGATGTGTTTATATGGCGGTTTTATCATGGAACCTTCAATGTGACACGTTATTGCCATTCTATGAAAAGCGGCATATTACCCCAGGTTAAAATTGCGTGTGCCCTGAACGAGAATACAATGAGTGAAACTAAAATAAAATGAAATTTTGAGAGGGGATCGGAGTTAATGAAGCCTGCATACCACAGATAAGCTGTGAAAAGACACAGTTAAAAAAGCAGGCGATACGTACTCTAAGGGTGATTAAGTAGTATTTAAGTGAGAAATACTGCAACCTTAACTTTTATTTTAAGGTGAATTTCCATCTACAATAATGTATTTAGTAAGTATTTACAAAAGGTTTGTTACGTTTTGCTTTCTTGGATTTTAAGTTTCAACGACACTGAGGTCATGTGAAAACATTCCTGCTTAAGTGTAAAGAAAGACCCCATATACCCTTTGTGAAACTTGACTAGCACCTGACTAGAACCACCGACCTTCCGTAAAGAAGCTTTATAAATTCCTCACGTACAAAGAAACCAAAGTGATGATGGGATTTCAACAACAGCAGTAAAAGAAAGATAATTTGAAATCGACGGCCTTATCCCGACTCTGCTACTATTACGTACCTCCATCAGGC